TTCAAAAATTTTAATTCAATTATCTTTTAGCAAATGTATTGAATTCTTAATCAATTTATTTGAATAATTTTTAGATCTATTATTTTCTGGTTTTATTAATAATTAGTTAATATAATAATTAATATTTCAATTCTTGTGTAATAATAATATTTATTTTTTAGTCGATGTTAACCTAATAAGTAGTGAAAACAATTAACTATAATTAGTATTTAATATATTTATTTAAATGCACATCAATTTTTATGTCATGTAACCGTTAAGTGAATATAATTAATGAATTAAACAACAATTAATAATTAAAAGATTGACCGAATTTTTGCAGAATATTTACATTTTTAAATTATAATAAGAATTATATAAATGATTATATTTTAACAACAATTCTTGAAACTAAATTTAATGTTATATTTGTTACGATTTCCTGCAAATGAATTTATTATTCAATTCACAAACCAAATGAAAATATGAATTGAAAAACGCAATGACTTAACAGTAAATACAATGAATGATAATTTTTTATTGACTAACCTACTGACGAAGCGATTTGTTGTACAATAAATACAATTATATTTATTATTTAAATATTTTGTAAGTAGCTCAAATACCTGTTTCTCTTTGCTGTTGGCTAATAACGTTTGAATAAACCATTTCCTTTCATATACTGTAATAAAATCTATGAAACACTAGTCGAGACTCTCGACTGTCGAGAGTTTCATGTGATTCGTGAGAAGTGTTGGCAAAAACACTGTTTCATAAGAAAATGTTTGCAAAACATGTGAAATCATTGCCGAAAAAGACCCGAAGAAAGCGACTGATAATTGTGATCATCGTTTGCACTGTTTTGTTGGTATTGTTTGTGTTGAACTGTTTTCTATTCAATTTCCTATCGTATCCCAAATGGGGTTCACTTACAGAATATTCTGTGCATTCGTCCGCCGTTTCGCTTATAGCCAGACGTAACCATTCGGCAGTCAATACGGATTCTGTGGCAACAAATATGAACAATAAATATACAAATAATGATAAGAAGCAAAAAATCATACTCTTGTGGACCAAATTCTTTGATCAAACGGATTACGTTCAGTCCACATACGAGAGCACTTCGTGTGCGGCAAACAATTGTCTCTTCACTTCCAACCGAAGTTATCTGGAAGAGAGCGATGCCCTCCTCTTCCATCTCCGGGATCTCAATACCAAAGATTGGCCGCAATATAGACGACCCGATCAGCGATATATACTACTGAATCACGAGTCGCCGCCCAATACACCCAATGTGTACCGATTGAACCATCAAATCAATTGGACGGCAACCTATCGGTACGGATCCGATATATTCCTATCGCCGACGTTTCGCCGCCGAACGGAACCCAATCCCAAGTTTAAGCCAAATGAATTAATGGTCGTTTTGTTCTGGGCTTACTAGCGCACCAATCGCTCATTAACGTTTTGGCTATCGTTAGCTCTCTGTATACACCTTCTCAACTTCTTCTGCCACTGTCAGCTGCACAAACCGTTTACCGGTCACAAAACGTGTCTCCCGAAGATGTCCCCCCAATGCCTGGAACAGGTGTCCCGAGAATATCGTTTTATTCTGGCCTTCGAGAACTCCATTTGTCGCGATTATGTCACCGAAAAGTACTTCAACCCACTCTCTTATGACATCATTCCCGTTGTGTTCGGCGGATCCGACTATAAGAAGATTGCGCCGAAGAAGTCGTTCATCGACGCGCTGTCGTATAGCTCTCCGCGTCATTTGGCCCGATATCTGCTGTATTTGAGCAAAAATGCCAACCAATACAACGAGTATTTCAATTGGAAACGCGATTACGAGCTCACAGGCAATCATTACTCGTGTCAGATATGCCAAAAACTCAACGATCCCACCGAACCCGTGAAGGTATGGCACCAATTGGAGCGCTAATTATAAATAATGGTAAGTCAATTAAAAGGGATAATTTCTATCTAGATTAACAGCCAGTATTGGTGTGATCCACAAAATGGCAAACATAGCGCTAATGTTTGTGGCATTCCGTGCACTCGTATGTCTGACTTCTTATTTTAAAACTCCTGATAACTATTGACTAATATTTGTTTTAACTATTATTAAAAGACTTGAGAGACGATGACTTAACTGACGATATTCTGTGCGTTAAACAAATATTCAATATTCACGGCTTTAACGCATGGTATGAATTAAAAGTGAAATAATGTTTTTGTCATTAAATTTTATTTAAATTACTTTATTTTTTCTTTCATCGCTAAATAAAAGGGCTGTTTATAAGAGTTGCCAAAACAGGAACTACCGGTCATTTGCTGATACAGAATGTAGTAATTATTTGAATAGATATTCAACCGTTGAAAAGGTTAAGTTCACACTAGACTGAAAACATTTACCATTTACATTTACTGTATACTAATAAATATTTATTTAATGTGATTTTAGGCGACTCCTGAATATGATTATTCCTGGCGTGGGTTTATTCCAGAACAATATTTTCACAACTATTTTCATAATGATAATTATTTGAATAATTTGAATAATCATTTTAATTCATTTACACCAATTACTGACTCTTATATCAATCCATATCTTAACGATTTTTACTTTAATCCTATTAATGACAACAATTATCAATATATACTGTATTAATTGTGATTATATTTGTATTCATTCATAACTTATGGTTCATAAGTGCGGATACATTCAGACAAATAAAAGTTTTTATGCAGAAATTTTTTATTATTTTTTTCAACATTAATAATAGAAACTATTGTTATTATATAACAAATGCTTGTTTTTACTACTATTTAAAACATTTGTTTAAAAAACTGACAAAAGAATCAAAGAAATATTGTTATAAATAAATAAATGTTCAGAATCTTAACAATTATTTTTATGAAAAATAAAATTTTATTAAAACAGGAGATGAGATGTTAATCACAATATAAACCATTTCGCATTATATAGCAGACCATTGCATAACATTAATTCAATTATTACTATTATTATTATCAATAAATGGGTTAATTGAATGTTTTTGTTGATTTAATAGACATTAGATTTTTATGATAGTATGCATTGAATAATTCGTTTAAACAATTCGTATACAAAAATACAAAATCTTGCGTTTGTGTAGAAATATAACAAAAATATTATTTTAATAAAAATGATATAATTAATTATATTAACTTATTTGGCATAAAATATGTTAAACTTAAATTTAGTTTTGAATAATTTCTTTAAACCAAAGTGAAAAATGTGCAAAAATTTAATAATATTTTACTATTTTTGTATATTATGTTCAATAAACTTAAGTTATGGTAAAATATATCGGAGATGTGATCTCTTAAGGGAATTGAGTGCTAAACACGATATACCGGATGAAGAATTGGGAGATTGTAAGCAATTAACTGTTACTCAATTAAATTTTTATTTAACTGTTATTTTTAAAAGAATTTTTATACTTTTTTTTTGGTTCAAAATGAAGGGATGTGTATAATGTTTTGGGAAAGTGGTTTGGATACCAAAGCCCACCGGATCGGCAACTTTGACGGCAGCAGTAATTACGGGATCCTTCAGATCAGCGATTTAATGTGGTGTCAGTCCAATGGACGCAAAAATAACACCAATTTCTGTGATTCTTCGTGCGATAGTTAGTTCACAATTACGATCTCTCTCTCTCTCTCTCTCTCTCTCTCTCTCTCTCAATCGCACGAAGAATCACAGAAATTGGTGTTATTTTTGCGTCCATTGGACTGACACCACATTAAATCGCTGATCTGAAGGATCTCTCTCTCTCTCTCTCTCTCTTTGCTTTACATGTTTTATATAAAAATTTTAATTACATTCACTTCTTATCTTTTAATGAATTCAGAATTTCGTGATTCAGACATAACGGATGATATCAAGTGTGGGCTACTTATATATAAACTCCAGGGCTTTGACGCCTGGTTTGCAAACTTTTAATTACATTAAGCTTTTAATTACATTATATTGTAGTATACAATATTTATATTGAATTAACTATTCCTACATTATTAAATTAAATGTGTGTATCGGGTGTACCAATGATATGGTTAACACATTTATACTTAACAATCTCTGATCAATTTTTATAACACACAACCAAAAGGCTTTTAATCGATACATTGTTAAAGTTTTGTTGACATTCAGTGGCATCTCATGTTGTAAAACACCAATACATTGAATATCTTTTTTTTAAACTTTAGAAATTAAATATTTCATAATAGACCAAAAAGTTGATAATTTTAGATTAGCTCTTGATAATTTTTCGTCGAATGTAAATAAGTTAAACTTTAAAAATTGTTGGCTATTATTGCCTATTAATATTAAACCATTAAATTTATACCTGTAATGTATTTCAATTAATAATACAATTGGTTTAATGTTTAGGGGTTCGTATAACAGTCGGTGCCGATCAGAGAACACACATTACACAGAAGGCTGCTCTTCTTCAAAAACTTCTGTACCAAAAGATACAAAACCAGAAAATGCTAACAAAAATCCATCGATAAAAGACACCAAAAAAGTTCAAAAGCCCCCAAAGACCTCCCAATTAGTTAAACAATTGGTCCAAATGTCGAAACAATCGATGAATATACCCGAAAGTATGTTTAGAGGAATCAGTAGGCGATCTATTGAAAGTCCGAAACCGACCCAAAAAGTCCAGAATAAGGTCAACAATAAGACTACGAAAAGAGCGGCCAAAAGTCAGGTAATAAACGGAAACAAGAATAAGATTGTTAGGAGTCGGCAAAAGAGGGGTTTGTTAATCCGAAACCGACCCAAAAAGTCCAGAATAAGGTCAACAATAAGACTACGAAAAGAGCGGCCAAAAGTCAGGTAATAAACGGAAACAAGAATAAGATTGTTAGGAGTCGGCAAAAGAGGGGTTTGTTAGGACAGGACAGTATCAACCCCTTTGAAGACGCGCGCATTTTTGTGTTCAATCCGTTGTGTTGTTTCAATTGGAAGGCAGCGGAGGTCGAGTGGTCTAATGCCAAGAACTGGTACTCTAAGCCACATACCCATCACATCCATTGCGAAATCACTTTATTTATTATTGATTTGTTAATTGTCTCGTTTAGGGCCCGAGATATTAGGACATCAGTTGGATAGGGATGTGTGAATAGGGATGGGAAAGGGATGGCAACTGATGTGATGCGGAATGAATTGACTGAACGCATGCTCTGCCGGTGCTGTGCATCCATTGATGACATCAATGATCACATTATTGCATACAAAAAAGATAAATACCTTTTTATGGTTCAAAAATTTTAATTCAATTATCTTTTAGCAAATGTATTGAATTCTTAATCAATTTATTTGAATAATTTTTAGATCTATTATTTTCTGGTTTTATTAATAATTAGTTAATATAATAATTAATATTT